TCTGTTATGTTTGTCACTTAATCTTCACTTTTCCTTAACTTCTCTTGCAGAACAGCAAGAAATCCACATTCGGTTGATAGATATACTGGTGGATCTTCATCTGGTCCTGCTGCATTAGTATCATCAGGATTATGCTCAGTAGCAATTGGAACAGATAGTGGAGGTTTGTACATATAGAAGCCCGATATTAATTGTCACAGATTCTTATCTGTCTCTGATTGGTACCTTTTATCTACAACAGGTTCAGTTAGAATTCCATCTGCACTTTGTGGTATTGTTGGTTTCAAGACAACATATGGGAGGACAGATATGACTGGGTAATAAAAACAAGTTCCATTGAATTGATTATTTACAAGAGTTATTCTTTTTATCTGTCATATTTGTTATATATGCATTGAACTACCTTCCAAGATTACTAAAATAAGCTGCTCTAGTCACAAGCTAGCATCCACTGTGGTCTGAAACAACTTATTGTTTTATTTTGCATAGTATTGTCCAAAAATCAACCAAGTTAGACTATGTAGTTGCTATATGAAATTTTGTTATACTGAATCTCATTAAAAATCCTTCAAAGTCTTGCAATTTATTGTTGTATGATTATATATCTTGTCTGCAGGGTACTTTGTGACTCTGGGACTGTTGAAGTTGCTTCTCCTCTTGTATCATCAGTTGAGGATGCTATACTAGTGTAAGCTACTTGGTGTGCTATATGATACCATGAGATCCCTTGCATAAGCCCGTTAAGTTTAGCTTTCTCATTGAGAAAGTTAGAAGTTTTGCCAATGCTTCTTTTTGTGATACTGGGTGATGTTTGATGATCCTGTTGATAAAACTGGATATTTGTTAACTGTATCATATGGAATTTCAGGTATTCTGCAATAGCAGGCTCAAGACCTATGGAAAAGCTTACCCTTAGACCAGTAAGATACTACTCCATCCGTTTCAAATTATAAGACGTTTTGGCTTTTCTAGATACATTACTTTTATTATGTATCTAGACTAGTGTTATATCTAAATGCATATGTATCTAGAAAAGCCAAAACGTCTTATAATTTGGAACAGAGGGAATACATTCTAATATTTCCTGCCTTTTAAATATCAAGAATGCTGGTATGCCTTTCATGTGCCGTGTATGCTGTCAGATTATACCAGTCAGCCTTAGGCAGTTGGCTTTGAAATGATATCAGATTGAATTTTTGTTGTTGTTTTCCATAGCTTGGTAACTTCTTTTTTGGCTAGATAACCTTCTCTATTGTTCCCCAGAAATCCAGCATGACTTATAACTAAATAACAATTTCTTTTTTGCTGAATACAGCACATTTGATTGAGCTCACAGCATCTGCATTTCTGTTTCTTTCCTCTTTGCAGTCGCCACTATGTGTCCCAAATTTATTGTCTCCAGAAAACAGCAATATCCTGGGATCAGTTAAAATAGGAAAATATACAGAGGTATGTTTGTGCACTTCAAACGTTAGTTTGGTATGTCCCTACCTATTCTCAAAAGAAATTTGCTTTTGTAGTGGTTTAATGATGTTTCTGATCATGAGATATCGAGTACATGTGATGATGCACTTAAACTTCTCTGCAGCGCTTTCGGATGTCAAGTAAGCCCATTCTATCTCAATGACTTAGACGATAACAATGCAGGATTAATGTTTCTCTTAGTTATAGATATAGAACTTACAATAGATCATTCGCCGCCTTATATAAAAAAAAGATCATTTGACTTAAGATGGACAAACTCTTCTCAGAATAGAAGCATCTGTGTTATGATGTGGCTTTTGATGTATATAAGTAAGTTATGTTTAGATAAATCAATGCCATCAACTTCAACCTAGTGGCTATGACAAAGTTCGGACTATGAAATGTATATGTTCATTGTGTTTGCAGTTCCTCTAATTCATAACTGATTGAGCTGACCACATGGTATCTGTTGTATATGCACATTCATCTCTTCTAACATCTCAACTAACAAGTCCTGATTTGCTTCTTTGAAGATAGAAGAGATAACATTACCAGAGCTTGAAGAGATGCGTACTGCCCATGTTGTCTCAATTGGCTCAGAGTCATTCTGTGACCTGAATCCTCATTACAAAACAGGGTACCTATCTGTTTGATGGATACCATTTCCATAATGTTATCCCCAGCGTAGTTATGACATTTCCTTCCAAGGGGAAACACTTCTTGAAATTATTGGTCTGCAACATGCTGAAAATTTAAGTTATTTGTTAGAATGGGCTATCTTAAGCAAAATATTTTCTGTGCTGTACTATTGTTCTCATTCTCCTTGTCTCTTCCAGAAGGAAAACTGAGTTTATGCTGGATACTCGAACAAGTTTGGCACTTTTTGGGTCGTTCACTGCAACTGATTATGTGGCATCTCAAAGTATAAGGTGAACATGAGCATGCTTAGAGGTTATGAATTCAGTTTACGTTTTAAGCTTATCTTGATTTGTGCAATTGAACCTAAACTTTCAAGTATCTGTTAATGACCTACTATCGCAATAACGACTGGAGGCTCCTGCAACATGTGTTCAGCTGTTTGTTTCTTTTTCCTATATTGTGCTAAACATGCGCTTAATGTACCTTTTGATGGGGCTTATATAGGAGGATAATGCATTATCACATGGAAGCTTTCAAGAAGGTCGATGTCATAGCAACTCCTACATACAACTGGGTAATAAATGCAGAAGTTTTCTTTATCACATGAAAAGTTTTACATTTTAAACGTTTCTCGAAGTACCCTAAAAAAATCTAATGCTATTTTTTCACATGACAAATCTATATAATGTTTTTTTATACATATTAGTAGTCAAACCTGAGGAAGTTTGATCTCTCAGCAATGGATTATAATGTAAAAGAGATCTTTGGAGTTATATCTTATCTGGAAATAAATCAGTGTGCAGGGGTGGAGCTTGGTTAGACCAAGCTGGCCCATGTCCCTCCTGCCCCATGTGTTCTCCACTATCTTATCTAAACAGTAACTTTGGTACTATTCGTAGGTGGTTAATGCTGAATTATATAGACTGCGCCCCTCCGCCTTCCCTCTTTGGCCCCGTTCGCTGGTCTGAAACTTGGCTGAAACTGGCTGGTTTTGTGAGAGAGAAATACTGTAGCGGCTGGTTGATGAATAATGTTTACTGAGGGAGATCAGCCGGCTGGTCTGGATGGACCAGACCAGCGAACACGCCCTTTGTTCCTTTAGTTAATTTCCGCCACTGTCAGTGTGGTATAGAAATAGTTAGATACGGAGTATGTAGTTGTAGCCTAAGTGAAGCACATAATTCTAGACAATATCCCTGAACTGATCTTTGTCAATGCGCTTTTCAAATAGACAGGAATAAGTGACATATATGATCTACAAGTATATATCTATGTTCCCTAAAACGATGGTGCACGGTGCACCTCAAATTATGCATGGTTATTCTACGTCAAGAAGCTTTGTATTGCTGTAATAACTAAGCAACTGTGCTGTTTTCCAGCATTACTGCTCCAAAAATACCTCCAAGTGCTCTGAAGTCAGGAGAGTCAAATTACGTTGTGTCAGGTAAACTGTGATCAGGATACTGTAATTTAGGCATCTTAATTAGATCTTTAATTTGTCAAAAAAGAGTTTATATGAATTTTAATGGTTTTCACAATGCTATTATGTTTGACGAAAAGATGCTGAAAACCAGATGTAAGATGTGTTGTTTGGCAGGTAGTGTGTGTTGTTGTTTTTTACAGCCAACTAATCAAGCAAGCTAGTACAAGAGAAGACAAAATGGTTCCTTTTTTTGCTTGCTCGATAAACCATTAAGTTTGAAGAGAACAAAACTTGGGTGGTTTCATTAATTTCATTGTGTCTAGCAAATCATGTTTATTAGACTGGGAACTGGGAAGATTTGTTCACAATCTGTATTATTTTTGGGTGGTATACTAAGAAAATGATATGTTCTTGTTTTGGCTTGATATAACCTATTTGATACTCAGTATAAGTATGGTTGTTTGTTCTACAGATATCACAACACACGCCTTTTCTAACATTGCCTTTTCTTGCAGCTTACTTGATGCGATTCATCATAGCAGGGAACCTTCTTGGTCTCCCAGCAATAACTGTGCCTGTAAGTGGTATCAATGTATCATACAAATACATGTTTCATCTTCTAGTTACCTGTTGTGGTCTATACCGGAGCCTGACCATAATATTACCACTTTATATATATATATATATGAACTTTTTTATTATGATTGAGGAGGCGTCAGGAAGTGTTAGCTGTGTCTATGATTGGTGGGCCCATAAGAGGGAAGGCGTTGAGAGACGTCAATGAGAGAGGCGTCAGGAGACGTTAAATGTGTCTATGATCGGTGGGCCCATATGGTCGGAACGTCCCCCAATGCCTCCAAAATTTAGAGGATTGGGACTTCAAATAAAAGAGTGGCAATTCATTTTCCGTGGTTATTTTTTTAATTAAGGGTAAAATGATAAATTTATAAATATAAAAATAATGTTTTGAGTAGTATAGTTGAGATTTACATTAGTTAGATGAAGATGAATATTTTCGTCTCGTTAGGGTTGATTCGCCGTTGTCTCCGGCACTTAGGGTTCATTAGCTGCTGTCTCCGTCTGTGTGCCGCCGTCGTTGTCATCAGCCGTTGTTCAGGGTCGGGTCGGAGGATGCGGCGTCAGGAGGGGGTGGGGGAGGAGGGAGAGGAGGGAGGCGGAGCGCGCGGCCGTGTCCCGCGGGTACGCTGCGTGGGGGCAGGGTCGGGGCGACGGCGGCGCGGTCGTCGGCGGCCTGCAGCCCCTGGGCCGGGAGCCCTTTCGGGCTCCCCGGCGGCATCGCGCCGATGCCGGCGGCCTCGGCATCCACGCCGCGTCAGTTCTTCCGCCGCCCATTCCCACCGCCGTCCCCGGCCAAGCACATAGGACTCCCTCGCTCACCGGCTAGGCCGTCGCTCGCCGGCCTCCGCGTCGTAGGTGCCCAGGCCACCCGTCGAGGTCCTGATCCTTTTCGCACATGGCAAGAGCCTTGGCCGCCGTTTGGCCGCTCGTGAAGGGATGCATCACCGGCAGCGTGGTCGGCATCACCGTCGTCGACTGGGTCGCCTCCGTCGTCAGCATGGACGGCGCCTCCATGCACCCCACCTTCGACCCGCAGCAGGCCGAGCGCGCTCTGGTGGAGAAGCGCTGCCTCTACCGCTACGACTTCTCCCGCGGCGACGTCGTCGTTTTCAGGTGAGTTAAGTCGCCGCCGCCCGCCCGCCTCCGGGTCCGTGGGAGTTTCTTGGATTGGCTGGTTGTTGATGTCGCTGCTGTTGCTCGTCGTAGGTCGCCGAGGAACCATCGTGAGCTGATGGTGAAGAGGCTGATTGCGCTGCCTGGGGATTGGATCCAGATCCCGGAGAAGCAGGAGATCCGGCAGATCCCGGAGGGCCATTGCTGGGTTGAAGGGGACAATGCCGCCCTCAGCTTTGACTCGAGATCCTATATTCCTATGGCCCTGTAAGTTATTCATCTCGTTACTGGACACAACTGCGTTATTGGCCTAGGATAAAATGCTTGTTAATTGCAAAAAGGAAGGCCTGACTGTGTAGCTGTGTTACAGGATAAAAGCCAGTTGCTTACTTGGTTACCAAAGTGATAGTTTTAGTCGTTTATTCCTAGGGATCTTTTTAATCTTGATGAAAGCATCTTCATCTTGAATTGGCATCTTGATCACTGGAGGAATTTAACTGTATGGTTTGCAAATCCGAGCCATTGACACAATGCTATTTCATTATTCATATTTGTATCCCCATTAAAAAGATCAAAGTATCAATTTCATTCCTTGTTTGTTTGGTGGATAAAACTAGCTTGAAGCCTTCAATATCTCCACTCCTATTCATTTTCTCTGATGATAGTTTCCTCATGGTTTATTATGATATGATATCTTGCAAGCCTTTTATTCTAATTCTAATAGCATAGGTGGGCAAGTATAAAAGAGTAGGTCAGTGCCTCGTTGAGCTTTTTTCGGTTCTGAGTGTTCATATCTTTCTGTCCTTTAAAGAGACAAGCAAATGGCGCCCAGGCTCCAGCAACACTCATTATGAAATACTTGTTTGCACAGTGTAGCAGATCGAGTTTCTAGGCATCTGTGATCTTGTTACTAAAACATCCAAAACACTTTATACCTGCAGGTTCCTATGGGTCTGTTGCGGGGGAGGGTCACACACATAATCTGGCCACCCCAAAGAATTGGCCGAGTTGACAGAAAAATGCCCGAAGGAAGGATTATGCCACTGTGACCTTTTATTAGGTTGGCTATCCTGCATTCTTTTTCCATTCTAGGGTTAGGATAGCATTACGAAATTGGACTAGTTGAAGCCTAAAGATGGACTCCACTGTATGTGGGAGGGCAGTGAAACTAAGGAATGTGATACTGATGATGATTTTATATCTGATTGACAATCAATCTCCTTGTCAGAACCAATTGCAGGATTGTTTGAGAAAAGAACCAATTATAGGAAATGTCTGGTGAGAACCTTTGCTGCTTGCAGTTTTTGGAATCCTTGATATCCAGTTACTCCAAAATCGTTTTTATCGTTGGCTTGATATTCTGTTTCGTCCTGCCATAACTAAATCATACTCAACGAATAGTTGGTGCTACTTAAATTGCTTATTTGTTAGCCAAATACAGATGGACTATTTAAAGTGTACACTCGTTAGTAATTTCTGTAATAGCGTTATCAATGTCATCAGTTTCAATTAGCAATATGCATTTTCTTTTGACAAATATACTGATGTTCTCTTATCACCGGGTTCTACTGAAATGCTCACTCTTGATATGTAACTGCTTTCATTTGAAGGCACAAGCTCTTGGCAGCAGTCATTTGAAAGAAGAACCAAGAGTATGGTAGGCCACTGCTAGACAGGGCAGCAGCTCAATTTTCAGCAATAGTTTGATCAAAATATCTGAAGAGCCATGTGCTTGGGAATCTGCAAGGAGAAGCATATGTGAAAGAACGATTCGGCGTTTCTGATGTCTGAAAGCTATAGAAACTAACACCTGTACTTGTTTGCAGAAAATGATATTGGTTCTAGGAAGCAGTTCACAAGGTGGGCACCCTACACCCTCTGCTCCACCTTTACGAGATGACATGCCCTAGGCTTTGGTACCATCAGGAGTTCAACCAGACCATGAGAGCCTACATTTCATTGAGGAGAAGATCAGGGGCCTCGAGAAGATCAGGGATGAGCTGAAGATCAAGAAACTGCAAAACGAGCTGATTGTAGCCAAGAGTGAGCTCAAACAGTCAATGAGAGTGATCAATGGCAGTAAGAAGGTTTTGCTGGATAGTGCTTTGAATGAGCTCAAAGCATACAAGAACCTAGAGGCACTTAGTCAGTAAAGTTATGCCAGCAATTCTAGGGCCTGTGAGGGTCTTGCTATAGTTGCTGCCGCAGCACCATGTTTTGTGAAGGTGCTCTGTAATTTAACTGTGGATTGCTACTGAGTAAAAGTTATCAGTTATTGGGTCTTTTGTATCTATCAAACCTGTGCACCCTTTTTGACTACCAAAACACCATTGGGTGTCAATTTCCTTCCCAATAGGGCAGTTATCCTGCATGACCTTTTGGTGAATTAGTGGATCATTTCCTCCTTTTTCTGATATCGGTAAGTGGTCTGAGAGTTAGATGATATCTAAGTAGCAGATTACACAGAAGTTTCAGCAATGGAAAAGGAAAGTGCAGATATATAATCATTTTTTATTTTAAAATAAATGGGGCAAAAAAAATTGTTGCCACACGGGCCAAAGTGCCAGCCAGCAGCTAGGTCGGGGCTCGACCACGGAGGGAGCCTAACCCGGCCACGGCAGCCCAATTGGCCCAAGTGACAAGAGTGAGAGTATGCATTGTAGTTCAGTAGTTCGATGTCTGCCACTTCGCCTGTTCTTTTATGCGGCGTTGTTGGTTGGTCTGCGGCGAGCAGGTGGACTAAACCATCCGGCGCCTACCTATCAGCGAAAGGGCTCGGCCATTTATTTCATGATGGGCGAGCATCCATCCCGCGGGCCATCTGAAATAGAATGGAAGCCCAAGACCGGACCGGGCGGGGAGCGAGAGAGAGAAGCAAAGGTTGTGCGGGGAATGAGAGAGAGAAGCAAAGGTGTGTAGAAACTTATGGGATGAAGAGCTCTTCCCCACCACACCACCCGTTCGTCACCACTGCTGTTCCTCCTCATCCTCTCCTGCCTCCGTCTCACACAGTAAAACGCCAGCGCAAAGCACATTGGACCACCACCACGCCGCCAACCCTAGGGTCTACGAGGAAGGAAGAGAGGAGGGAGAGGCAATGGGCAGCCGATGGTGTCGATGAGCACGACCCCGCACCCGCTAGATCCGTCGGTCCCAGGCGCCACCGGGGTGGAAAGGAGGAGGAGGAGGAGGGCGTGAGGCGGGAGGCGCCGCCGCCGCGCTTGGCACTGCCGTGGCGTGCTCGTGCCCGTGCCGTCGGTTGGGAACAAGGAGGAGGAGGGTCCCCGGAGGGTGCGCAAGTCGTATACCATCACCAAGTCACGCGAGAGCTGGGTGACTCCGAGCACGACAAGTACCTCGAGGTGCAGGCAACGTGAGTCGCCCCGCCCCGCTCTCTCCCCGTCCTATTCCTGACCACCACCTCCGGCGACGCTTACCTCTGCTTCGCCTCACTGGCGCTGACCCGTCTGCTCTTCCTTCCTCTCGATCGCTGGAGTTTGGTTCACTAGTTGGGTTTGTTAATCTGCGAATTGTGCTCACGTTTGCGTCTTCCTTTGCTTTAGTGGCCAGTCGTTGGTCAAATGGTAGATCTAAGGGCCTGTTTGGCCTAGTACACCCTAGAGTGTCATCTCTTGGGGGCAATCACTCTTTATCCCACTGTGGAACATGACTGGCAGACATCCTAAATTGTTCATTATCGTCCCGTAGTTAGATTCTACCTAGCTGCCTTTAGGATTTCGCCCTACTAAGTTGTTTTGAATGGCAATGTCTTACCCTAAGGATAGCCGTTACGATTTTAGTCACATGTATCTAATCCATTATTATGGATCCTGGTCGCATACATGGCTTGTCATCTAAACAGATGCTTTAGCAGTTTATGGACATTTCATACTTGTAGAATGCCTCGTGTCACACATCTGGAGCAGTTTTCTTACATATTAATCCTTCTTTGTTTTAATGTAACAGCTTTGACCGTGACTGGAAAAAGATCGAAGCGTATGTTGGCTCCAAGACAGTAATAAAGGTATAATTAAATCTGCCCTTGGATCCTCAAATCTGTGCCATTGTCTCCCTTTGTAGTTGACTGGCTTTGTCACACAAGGTTTTAGGCTAGTTCCGGTTTTTAGTCAAAGTGTTTTAGGTGAGGATATTTACATCTTTTTAAAAGGAGATGCATACTGAGAAACTATTGGTTGCTCTGTATACCCACTATGTGGTTCCTGCTATACAATTATTCCCTCCAAGGGCTACCATTGAATCGCCCTGCGCATCGCACTCGTTTATTCAAAGATTCGGTGCTCTCCAAAGTGAGAACAGGAGTTTCGACATTCTTTCGCGGTCTTCCTCGTCCTCTTTTGTTACTTTCAGCTGCTGCTGTATTTCCTTCAACTTCTTTAGTTCGCGGTTGTCCCCGTCCTCTTTTCTTATCTTTAGTTCCCGATGCTGTCTTTTCTTTCCCTTCTCCTGATGCTTTATTTGCTTCCCTTCCTTTCCTTCCATTGCTTTCTTTCATGATAGACACAGCGATTGTTGGAGTTCCCGTTGATGGCGATAGTGTCTGCACATCGTCTGCATCTTCATTCCGTTCGTGCCCCCCTCGTTCCTCCGGATATTTTGCAAAGTAGTCTTCCTTCTAAGTATCATCCACCAAAAAAAATGTTAGATAGACCCGATAGTCTGGAACAATTTGTTGCAACTGAAATAATTTAATATGCAGTAAAAGCACATACCGTGATAGGTTTTCTGTTTGAGGGTAAGTATTCCAGGTTGCGCTCAGAATGGAGCAACCTCGTGCATATTCTGAATCTAAAACTTTTCATTTCCTTCTATATAAGCGAAAGTAGTGCATGTCATGTAGCAGTTTTTGTTTCAGTATGTATCAATTTGGAAGTGACAATAATTCTAAGACTCACCGGTGTGAAATCATGAGCCATTTGATCTCCGTCCCATGCCAATATATATTTGATTACATACGCCCCACACGAAATACTGCAACGGAACATAAACATAAGTAATTGGAGTACAACATTAATACAGCAAAGGAAAAAGAGTACCTGTCGGTTTGGTGCAGTATGTTATCATAGGGAACTATATCCCAGTCGCGCAAGTTAATTGGTTTTACAAATATAACCAAGTCTCTCTTGACCGAATACTCGATGCATGTCTGTATGCCTTCCACCTAGTGGATGGCGAGATATATGTTAAGTTTGATCAACCGGTATTTGTAGTTACACAGAGGATTTGTACTTACCAATGCCTTCTCTAGGTCTCTATCTCGAATTCCTGGTATAGAGTTAAGTATTTGTACCTCTATCTTTATAAAATTCAACACTAGGAGAGCCCAGTGGTTGTAGTTGATATGCATTGGCACAAAAACCTGGGAAAAATAATTGAAAACTATTGAGTGTATGGCTATAATCCAAACTGGCAAGATTTCCACGATTCATAGTACAACACGAGATAGCAACCAAGCCAAAGTGTCAAAACAAAATCAGTTTTACGTACCAAATGCCTTCCTTCACATTTTTCGGCAATTATCTTCATGAATGTCGAGCGTTCATCAGGACCCATATTATTTGTTGCCAACTTATGGGCTTGGAACGTTGTTATATATGATGCCGACTCATTCTCCACATTGCTGATATGAACAAAGGCATTTATGACCTACAAAATGTTGAGTTAGTACATAGTAGGTGTGTGCATGTTTGTACTGACGACATGGATCTGAAATGATGTTACCTCATTGAAAGGTCCTTGTTTGGTCTTGGTAATTGAGTGACAACCTAGGTGGACTAATTGTGTTTATGTGAGATACACAGGTAATTAGTCCACAGATACATGTGTGTGAGCAACATATGCCATGAAGGTGAAAATGGCTTGGAGATGTTGCAAAGCTCACACATGTGATGATGAAGAAGCTCATTGCACATGAGACATGACATTGAGTCATGTGATCAAGGTGGAGAAGATCAAGACAAGACTTGGCTTGATGGACCGGTTGCAAGCGTGAAGGGCAAGTCGGAGGCTTTGGAGTGATGGACCGCGTGGCGGTGAAGCTTGAGCAAGACTTGGCGCCGATGGACGATGGCAACGGTGAAGAGCAAGTGAAGTCAAGATCGATGAACCAATATGATCACGTGATGATATGAAGTGGATCATATCATTGTTGATCATGTTGGTGCATGTGTTGCATCGACGTTGGAGAAGATGGAATGGAATGTGCAAGGCAAAGGTATAACCTAGGACATTTCATTTCACCGGTCATAGGTGTGTAGAGAAGTTTATGACCGGGTTTAGGATAGATGACCGTACTATAAAGAGGGGCAAACTTGTTTGCATATCGGTCATCTAATGCTACTCGAGTGATCTAACTTTACATCGTCGCTAGGATCGAGTGGCGTGGCAAGTTGAGTGGCTAATCCTTTGGAAAATGATTGTGAAAATGCTAACACACATACACATGGTGGTGTACACTTGGTGGGGTTGGCACATTTACAAAGGAGATGAAGTTGGAGTTGATGTGGATCAACTCGGTGAAGAAATGGAGGCGAAAGGAGAAACTCCACCGGCGGAGTGTCCGCCCGTAGAGTGCGGACAGTCTGCGACAGGGTCTCACAGAGTGGACTGGACGCTGGTCACGAAGTGACCGGACGCTGGCTGTGAGCGTCCGGTCAAGATGACGTATGGTGACGCAGGCAGAGCAGAGAAGCTGCGAGTGACCGAACGCTGGTGCTGCGTCCGATCGCGATCGACCGGACGCATCCAGTCATGTCCGATACCTTACTGGAAACGACCGGACGCTGGGGCTGCTGCGTCTGGTCAGTTGAAGCTGCTGCGTTCGATCAAGTGAAGTGACCATTGGAATCAGGACACGTGGCCATCTGCGGGTGACCGGACGCTAAGGTCCAGCGTCCGGTCAACATGACTGGAGCGTCCGGTCAACATGACCGGAGCGTCCGGTCGGCCCGATTTTTGCCTAGTGAAGGGGTAACGGCTAGTTTAGCCCATGAGGCTATAAATAGAAGTGGCTCTCGGCCATGGCGAGTGTTGAGCACTTGAGGGGACTTAGTATCCATGCTTGTGAGTGCTTGGGAGCCCTCCATCACACATATACTTGATAGTGATCATTCGATTGTGTGAGTGAGCGATTCTA